GGTACGAAGATGGCAATCTATCGCTTGCAGCATTTTTTTTTTAAAGCAGTTGTTTGTCTCAATTTATTTATAGATTTCGAGCAATCTTTCCATTTATTTTGAGAATAAAAATACTATAATCTAGTCCAAGATATTGTAAAAAGAAAATTTGAATTTGAAGTGTTTCGCGCCCGGCATAGCGCCACTGACGCCGCCAGTTTGATGCGTATGTTTATCATGATTTTCTTTAAAATACTCTTTTTTTACTCGCTTTAGACCTTCAATAAAATAATTGACCTATACAAGAAAAAAAATATATCTTAAAGTAGAAGATCTGCCGAATGTTATGCTTTTTTTAGAATTAAACTCTGTTCAGTAGTTTTTGAGAAAAAAATTCCGAAAGTTTGTCGATTTCGCCACATTAAATTGTAAATATCTCGGAAACAAAGCATTTGTCAAATTTTTCTCAAAGAACAAAAAGTGTTTGTTTTGGTCCATTTTACAATAAAAAAATCCATTCGGTGAGTAATATTCTTTACAACTTTTTTGTTTATAACAATTGACTGACCACGCCGAAAATTATAAAAAAAAATATGTAAATTATCAGAAAAATACACTTTATAAAATAAAAAACGTTTCATGCTGTAGGTTTTTGTTTCAAAAATTGAGTCGGTTACCTTCATTTAGAAGCATCATTTTAGGGGTGAACTGCTCGCCTATTTTGGTGGTAATTGCGACACTTATCTATTATCTTTACGTTTTTTCCTTGATAAAAATGTAATTAAAAGTAAAATTCGTGAACTAATTTGTACATGTTAATTAAGGATTTCAAAACTTCGACGTCACTGAATATTATTTGTCACAGCTCATCACGTAGTTGTTTAAAAAGACATATTTAAAATAGGTACCTTTTTACAAACCAAGGACATTTTCCCTGACAGACACGTGAGTAGGGCACAGTAAGTCGCAAGCTTGTTTTTGATGACTGTATGACTGAATTGCTGTATTGGGGGATCCTGTTGTTCATTTGGAATTTTCGTTCACATCCACCCAAATCAATCACATTTCAATTTCGACATGATCAAAACAACCGAATCGATAAAAGAGGGGGACTGGCGCTGGTAATGAGAGGAATATTAATCATAATAAATATCTGTTAGCGGCAGTCTGGGCATTGCGCATCAGTCCAGTCGACAGATCTAAAATTAACCCGGACTGATCATACACTGAAAGAAATCGGTTTATTTAACTGTTCTCTAGAATAATGACATATGAGATTTTGACATATACAGGGTGGCCAAATGAAAACGAAATAGAGCCATTTTCAGGAACTGCGTCAAGATTGTAGAAAAACGCTCAGACCCGTCGATTTTAGATTAAAGGGGGACATTCTTTGCAGGTATTTTTTACTCCGCCACTGGAACAAATTTAAAGGGATTAAAAAGGAGCAAAAACTGAGTTAACCGATGTCACAAATTTGTATCGGTAGTTTAAGGTCATAGAGAAAAAAGCTAATTGAAAATGTGTTTAAAACTGTTTTGGAACTGCCGAAGTATATGTATTTTATCGCGACTAGTAGTTACAAAAAATTCTCTAACACTTTTTACGAGTTTATTTCTTATGAAGACGGACTGTATTCGAAAGTCAGTTTGTAATACATTGTTGTAGTGATTGCTGTGCTGTTTTTCGAAAGTACATTTAATAGCCGTATTTCCAAGTTTTCGTTTGAAATGGCGCATTTTGTAGTAATCGCGAATATTATAATATGGTCATAATTTATGGCGAAGCAAACTAAAATGCAAGAAAATGGTGGATACATCGAACGTCTACGAAAATCAGCAGTTTTCAAAAGGTGGCTCCTTGCAATGTTGAAGTAAGTCAGATTTTAAAATTACATTTTACTCAACACAAATTAGTGTATTTACCTCATTTTGACATAACGCACATGTGGCAATTGACATAAGTTCATTAACACCCTGTATTTTTGGTGTTAATTTTCTAAATCATTAGAAATATCTACCATGTGCCATGTGCTAAATGTAAAATTTATTCTCCTGTTGTTTTTAATATTACATAATTCCTAATTAATGTATGTTGGCACGGTGTCCTAAATCCGTCCCTGGTATTGTACGAGTAATGTACGGACCTTAGTGATTACACTCATCCTAGTTTCTAGTGTAAGTTCAACTTGCGTATTGGGCATTGTAAAGTGATTGTCACAAACTGATAAATATGGACATTGGTCAAAAAGATTGACAATCTGTTATCAATATTTTTTTTATTGATATTGTTCACTCGTAGAGTAACGTGGTTTAATTTCGGTTTCATCTTCAGAACGATTGTCAGGATATAGGTATTAAAAAACACATACAAATCCTTTCAAGTAATACTGAAAATCGTTGGTGCACAGCGGGGAATGTTTCATCATTAGCTTGTACTGTTCCATTTAAATTAGGAACAACTTAACATAAATCAAATGCTAATTGTAATAGGTATTAAGGTTCCTCATTACGTACATTATAACTTTCATGTTGAAAATCCTGTCATAATAGTCAAATCCGCTCAAACTTTTCAAGTAGCAACTTCAATATCAAGAGATTTGTATTAAGTATTAAGCCTTGGGAAAGTTTAGCAAAAGATCTGATAAATTAATTGGAAGAATTCTACTTGTAATAAGAAAATTTCCCCAGCCCGACTAAGTTGACCGAACATCTCAATTACATTATTACACCAAATTCATGGGAAATGTTGCGGAACTGGAGACATTATCGAAAACTAAGTTTAGTTTAAACAGAATTTACTTGTGGCTGATTGCAGCCATATAAATGGATAACCCTAATAAATATATGGGACTACATTATAAAAATTTGTAAGTAGATAATTCCAACCAACGGTTCCTGCCTTGCATCGGGACCGTCCGTGATTAGATCACACTGACTTTAAGTTTCTAAATCCTCTAACGAAATTGATTCAAGTGAACTAATTTGCGGGTAATAAAGGTATATTGCGTTATATAATTTTCTCTTTAGTTGTACCATTTGGAGAAGTTCTCAGTTACTTTATACTACGATTAATTGCATCGATCAGCACATGTTCACTGAAAACTGTTGCTAAAAGACACTCGCCGCGAAAAAATACATGTATTTCAGCAGTTCCAAAATAGTTTTAAACACATTTTTAATTCCCTTTTTTCTCTATGACCTTAAACTTCCGATACAAGTTTGTGACATCAGTAAACTCAGTTTTTGCTTCCGTTTCACCCCTTTAAATTTTTGACATAAGTTCATTAACACCCTGTATTTTCACTTGTCTGTTTCCTCAATTGAATCAATTACTTGTAATGTGCTCCTGAGTTAGAGTTATGGATAGAAAGACTACGACAACTTTTATTTGGCAGGTTGTTGACTAAACGTATCTCATAGTTAATTTATTTTATTAATTTAATAGTTTTGGTTTTTAAGTAGTCTATACAGGGTGGTCTCGAGGTAATGGGTCAAAATTCATGAGTAGATTCCCCAAGTAAAAATATTGCGATTTAGCCGAAATAAGAAATGTTCACCGAATTAATTTTATTTGGAAAATATGTCGCTGCTGAATTTCATTCTATTTCATATATTTCCTTGGCAGGATTATTTTCAAGGTAGATCACATTTTCTGCTGCCAATATAATAGTACGAGATTTATTACAATCTAGGGTTTATGTAGATACGTATTTTATCGGTTTCTATGAGGTACACTACTTTTATCAATATAAAAATAAGATATACCTTTCTAAACTATATTAAATTTATTTCCATACTTAAATTTTACAGTCCGAAGATTATTTTCATCCTTTGACTTAATATATCTGCAATATATACACAAAAACAACATAAATGCCAAAAATGTGTAATCTTAGACACAAAACGACCATGTAGCGTGTAAACTATGATTACTACGTGCTAAAATAATGTCTAACTACTATCGGGTACACCCAAATTGCCGCATTTGGGGTTCATAAGTCCACGAGTGATTGGTGAGAAACAAATGCATCCACAACGTATCAGGATTTTAGGCGGAAGCATCATCAGACTATACTTCTTCTTTTATAGTTACGTTAGATTTTAAACATGACTTACCAATGTATGTTTGTGAACACAACTACTGTAATCAACTATCGAAAAACTTGATAAATTCAAACAATTGTTTTGCCTCTGGCTCGCTCTTTAGAGGTCTAGGACAGATATGTGTTTGTGTGATAGTTTCAAACCTGTATCGAGCAAGAACTATTTAAGACAAAACAAATAGTAGTAAAAAAACAGACAGGAGTGCGGGTTATTTTAAATGCAAATAATACTTACCAAATTATATGACAGGGTGATATTAAAACAACAAAAAATACTAGATACTTCTTTAAATCATTTCATTATTTAACAATTTCGATACACCAGGTAGGTATGTGCTTTTGTATTATATTAGAATTTACAGGGTATCCCGGTACTTGATACAAAAAAGTCGAGTACATATACTTGAGGTCAAAATATATCAGTCCTTTATACAATTTTTTTTCATACGGGCCTTCGTTAACAAGTTACGGGCCCTTTCAAAGGTGAAAATTAAAAAGTAATTTTTATTTAATTTCTAAACTATTAACTTCAGCATGATGCAAATTTGGTGCTCGATAACACATGCGTACAGATTGTTTTTGATGTTGTAAGTGAAACTTACAAATTTTTAAATAATTTTCGAACTGCCCTTTTTGATTTTAACAAAATTGTACTGTACATCAAACATTTTTTTTTTTTTGATAAGTTCTGAATCACCCTATATTTTTCACCATATTTCGTACTTTACTTATGACAATAAAAAGTTAAGTGATAACAAAATACTTTATTATCACAACTATTAATAGATAAGTTAATACGGAGCATTTGTTGTATTGAAATATTCCGTATGTTATGGAATTAAGTGCATACTTATTTTTAAATTCCCGCCTTGAACTAATAACTGTCAGTGACTCTATTTCGGTATTTATGTAGATGCTAGTGTGGATATTCCAAAGTATAATTATGTGGGTGAAGTGTGTCAAAGGATGAAAATAATCTTCGGACTGCGAAATTTAGGTATGGAAATAAATTTAATATAGTTTAGGAAAATACATTTTATTTTTATATTGATAAAAGTAGTGTGTATCACAGAAATATAAAATCCGTATCTACATAAACCCTAGAATGTAATGTAATAAATATCATACCATTATATTGGCAGCAGAAAATGTGATCCACTTTGGGAGCAATCCTACCAAGGAAATATATGAAATGGAAGGAAATTCAGCAGCGACATATTTTGCAAATAAAATTAAATTGCTGATCATTTCTTATTTAATTCAAAGGGAGCTTCGAACATTTATTGTATTTGACATAGATTAAGGTGGCCCTAAAAAAAGGAATATTTTTTTCGTGTCTCTTGTGAAAATATTTTAGTTTATCTTGTTTTAAAAGCCCCCTCCAAAAATCAGCTCAAAAAAATTTTTTTAGAGGTCGCTCATGATTTTTAAAAATTTCCAAAGTCGTCAAAAATTTATTTTTTTTTAATTTTTTTCTCATTATTTTATCATTTTCTAGTTTGAGAAAATCTCGATTCTGAAAATTTCAAATCGATATTTTAATTTCTAAAGGTCACTCATAATTATTTTAACTTTCAAAGTAGTGTACTTAAAATGTTTTTGAGCGACCTCTAAAAATAAATATCAACGAACTGATCATTCTTTTTATTGAATTTGATGAAAAGAGTAGAAATAAATTACGAGACGCTTAAAAAATTTCTCGAGCGATTTACTACCGCACTGTGAGTATCAAATATTTATAATTTTTTAATTTTTTAAAATTTAAGTATCTCGTGATTTATTTTTATTCTTTTGTTCATCAAATTCAATAAAAAAAATTATTAGTTCGTTGATATTTATTATTAGGTCGCTCAAAAACATTTTAGGGACACTACTTTGAAAGTTAAAATAATTATGAGTGACCTTTAGAAATCGATAGAAATTTTTAGAATCGAGATTTTTTTCAACCTAGAGAATGATAAATTAAAGAAAAATTTTTTTTTTAAATCAATTTTTGTCGATTTTGGAAATTTAAAAAAATTTTGAGCTACCTCTAAAAAAAAATTTGTTTGAGCTGATTTTTTTAAGGGGCTCTTAAAACATGATAAACTAACATATTTTCACAAAAGACACGAAAAAAAATCTTCTTTTTTTTTGGACCACCCTACTATATGTGTATAAAAAATTAGTTCTTGTTAAAAAGTATTTTAAGTGGACTAGCATTTACGGAGCATCCCTTTCAAACAACTGATTAGAAATATACTTTATTTTATATTTAGAACTTAATAACATACTGCGTCGGTTAATAAACACATAAATAACCAATACTTTTCCAATATCTAATATATACAGGGCACCATCGGATCGTCTTAACCATACATGACGACGATAATTTTTTTTTAAGTTGGTACCACATTGGGAAAAAATCCTGAACGAAAAAAAGTAATGTATAACATATTTTCATTTCTGAAAGTGTCTTTTTCATATAAGAGATCTAAGGGTTTTATCGAAAAAAGTTAATAAACAATTAAGATGTAACTTCATGAACCAAATTTGAAGATAATCAGCCCATAGTTTAATATTTTTTTATTTCACGATGAAAGGAACAAATTCGTTTAAAATTCAGGTAAAAAACACTCCGATACGTCGATTAGTATTTTCAGTTGGGGATTTTTTGACATAAGAAAATTGTATACAGGGTGTCTCAAGAAAAGCATAAGCTGTCATCATTAATTCTTTTTAATGGAACACCCTTTTTTGAATTGTACGGTAAATTCTGAACACTTTTTGTATAATATACCTACCATATCTCTAAAATCAGCGGTTTTCGTAATATTGACGTTTGAAATGTGATAAATGGATAACAAATTAATGTTTAATCATAAACTATTATTCAAATAACAATTGCTTTATAATAAATGATTAACGTTTTGTGCGCTTACTTCAATACATTTTTGTAGTCGAAGGGTTGTTTCCTATTGAACGTTTTCAATTACCTCTGCTTGTAAGTCTTATTTCCTGGCGTATTATCTGTTTCAGGTCATCAATATTATTTGGTCTATTCACATAAACTTTAGATTTGAAATAATTTTATTATTTTCTTTCGTATTTATTATTCATTTATTTTTTCTGAATTAAAGTCGAAAGAGGCAGAGGTCTTTTAATATCTCTGGAGCCGCGAAATGCGCGAAAGGCATGGCGTATCCCATAGACCATGTGCATCATTACAAGTAGACATGAACTAAGGCGCTCGGGCATCAATAAAGTCAACTGGCGAACGTTCGTTATATATATTTTTATAGTTTAAATTAAAATAATAAAGAATAGGACATTTTATTATGATATTTGTAATCGGATCAAAGGCTTGTTTACGCTAGTGCTCGAGAGACACTGTGAATAATAGGCGTAATGTTTTTAGGACATAGAATAATTTAGGCGACGGTTGGAATTATGTTTCTGCGCATATGAAGGTCAAAGCTCATAAGATTTTAAAACATCTCTACGTACTTCTTCAAGAACTTAGATCTCGAAAAAAAACTGCTGCCACAATTTTTCAATCATTGTTCTTATAAACAGCAGCAAGCTTAGGTTTTGTTAATATTCGTTATTTATTATTAAACGGTAAACGATTTCGAAATAGTTTACGTGATCTTAATTGAAAAGTCTTTTTTTGCTTGGCTTCTATTGCTGTAGCACATTCTAGTACACATCTTAAAATAACGATTACATATTGCACTCAAATTGTTGAGCCGTAAATAAAAGAGTAGTGTTGACATTTTATATCAATCAAAAAAATTAGTTTAAAAATTGCTTTGCATTTGATTAACAAACGCAAAAACATAGTTTTTCCATCTGAAATACCCATTTAATATGACTGGGATAATTAAATTCTAAAAATTAATCATCAGTTCAAAAATTAAATAAGATGTTATCAATAAAAATTAAATATCACACTAATCGTAAAACACTTCAAGTCTCAAATGCTTCAGTGGCGGCTCGTCGTATGAAACAACTGAGGTCGGGCCTCGTTGTAAAATTTGCCTCTCACACCGTATATTTTAATACCTACTATTCTACTATTAACCTAAATAAACAGTCAGGTAAACTAATTTCCAATTACGTATTACATTTATCAGAAATCAAAATAACGGTATAAAATAATTGAATATTGAATATCTCGCCGATCGCCTTTTCCATTGGCGCGGCATTGGATTCTGTTACTCTCCACTAGTCCCTACCACAGTGAGGCCAGAATTTCTTTGCTTGTAGGCGCGTCACACTTGCCTACAATATGCTACAGTTCCCCCTCCATGCGAGGCGATTAAAATAACGTGATTTACGAGGGAACTAAGGCCCGCTCAAAGCTGTTTGTTTGTGGTTAATGTACGCATCGCATAGTACGCTGGTAGTGTCTGATGTCAGTGTGAGAGATAGTACAAAGGCTTTAAGGATAAGGACAATACAGGTATTAATTTAAAGTAAATAAAAAACAACTTCCTTACAACAAAACAAAGTAAAACTAAATTTAACGTAATTTAATAGATACTTATTATATTACCAAATATCTATATAGATAGCTAATAATGAATCTATCTCACAATGTTGTTTTATCTATTAAAACACCCTTTTCAAGACGTAGTGATGTAAACAATTGCTCTAAACGAATTAAAATTACTAGTCAAAGAATTTCTGAATTAAGAAACGAAGAAAAATATGTTTCATTGTGCGAAAAATATTACTGGACTACCAAGTAAACGGGGCAAAAGTTGCGACGAATTGAAATATTTTCGAAATATATTCCCATTTAATTAAGTACCTACCTACTCCTTTTGGGAATTTACATGATTTAATTTTTTTTGTTTTAATAGATGCCTCAAAATTTCCCGAATATGCAAACAAATTTCCCGAAAATCGTTTGAACGTTTATTATAAATGTTTATAAAATAGATAGGATGGAAAACGAACTTAATATTTTGTACAGAGACGAACAATTTCGTAATTTAGAAGTAAAATTGCAAATTTAAAAGAAGGACGAATAAACCTGTTTTATAAAAACATTCACTGTTTTTAAAATATTTTGTTAAAAGTGGAGACAAACGAAAAGCTGGCGCGTTGTTTTATGCGTAAATAGATAAGTTGGCTGTCTATCTTATGATAATTTATTTTTATATTATTTCATATTTTGTAATATTCATAAACCAAGTAGGAACAATTTTGTTAATTATTAGGTAAATATATCACTTTGTTTTTTTTTCTGTTACTTAATTTTATCGTAAATACAATTTTTAGGGTTCTGGTATTATTATTAATAATACAATTTTTTAATTTACGGTTATAGTAGGGCTGTTGATGAAGATCTCCATAATAAAAAATGACTTGGACATTTATTCCTATTTATTATTTGAGAGCGGATTAATAAAATATCCAAATAGATCCGTATTATTTTTTATAAAATCGGAATGGAAATACTGCTCGTGAACATCAGTTTTTCTAATATTGTAAATGCAACTAAAAATTTCCAGAAGTCGTTTGACATTTAAAAATTTTTGCCTGCGGCGCTTTCTTTTGTTCTTTCTTGCCCACCCAGTAAAAAGCCACGGACCTCACTTATTTAAAACGTCACGAGCCAACACTGACCGTGCTTATATAAACTTATGTTGTTAATTTGTAACTTCTTCGTTTGAATGGTGGCAGAAACATCGATTGTGAACAAACAAATTTCTAAGCAAATAACTTTATCCTCTGAGTTTCTCATGTCTTAAAATACAGCATGTATTTTATTTAAATTATCACCATTACATATTTGTTCTGTTGCTTTTGAGGAATCCTTGGAGCGATTTAAAAAAGAACACAATTAGGATTTTTTTCATGTAACGGAGCCTCCATTAAATAATTTTGTTTAAAACTCCACAAGCATGCTTTGCAGGAAATTTTATAAGCCTCTATTCTTCTTAGTCGGGGACAGACTAGTACCTGTACAACGCATCTTGTTTGCGTCGATTTATAAAAATTAACGTG